TTCAACGCAGTCCAGGCTCACTGTGATGAGTAAACCCTACATTAACAGGCATTAACACCTAACATTTCAGAATGCAATTTAGAAATTGTTACAGATATCTACCCAAGCAGCAGTATTGCAGGACCTCTGCAGATATTACATTAAACCAAAAAATAAATCCAAAGTGTATTCATTTTTAGTTGTACGCTCCAGCCATAAAACACCCAGCTGCACAGGGGCTTCAGGGCCAGCATCTGAAGACAAACAGGTGAGGCACAGCAGCCATTACTGCCTCTATTATCTTTCTTTCCTATTGATCCTGTGACATCTGGCAGATATCTGAGGTGTTATTAGCAGGACGTATGCCCGTCAAACAATCTCAGACTGCGGCCAGACCCGTGCCTTGCAGGATGCACAGCCAAGTCCCTCCATTGATTTTGGTCCAAGTCACTGGGCAGCACAACTGTGTGCAGAGGCAGACCACAGCAGACACTGTTGCAGTAGGATTGAGGTGGACTTCGCAGTATTTACACTAATTTTGTCCCCCAAAAACACCAGTGAGAAGGAAATCCCTTGTACCAGCTGCCCAGCTACTGAGCGTACAGCTTTGAAAAAATCAAAGGTTCACCTTGCAGCCAGGCCTGCCCTTCCTCTTGCTTTTTTATTTTAATCTGCTCTGAACAGATGAAAGCTGACCACTCCCACGGTCCCTCTCCCTGCCTTCAGTGGGACCATCCTCCCCATGTGACAGCCAAGCACATACAGCACAGGCAGCACCCCTGGGTGCTGCTGCTCCCCAAGCACCCAGGGGTGCAGAGCACCTTGTTCAGCACCAACTCATGTGCCCAGAGAACTCCAGGGCAGCTGTTACACACCTCGGGATGGCTCTCAACTGGCTTGCTCACGGCTTGGTGGTGGCTGTCCCCTCCTCACCAGGGCTGGCGGGGGACAGATCTGCTATCGGTCCTTGGGCCAGCTTACCTACTTAAGCATCAGGGAGATGATGTCCCGGCTGCGATCCCAAGACCTCACTGCCTTTCCCACCCACCCCAAAGTTTTTTTGAAGGAGCCCCCAGACGGGACGAAGGGTGGGAAAGGGGAAGGCTGGAGGGACACAGCAGGTGTCTTCACCTGGCACCACGGGAAGAGCTGTGTTCCAGCTCTGATGGAAATCACTTGGGATCATAGCAAGGCAAGTCCCAGGGCGCCAGCAGTACAGGGCACAGCTAATGGACATCATATGGCACGTGTTAACCCCCATGTCCACCTGTGGTTTCCCCTGGGCAGGAGTAAAGCCATCTCCGCTGGCTGCCAGAGGCTGCACTTCAGGATGACTCTTCTCCCAAGGGACAGCAGTCTGGGCAGGGATTCATCACACTTCAGCTTCCATTAGCTGGTCCCCAGTGCTGCCAATAGACATGCCCCAGGTTTCTGTCCAATGTCTGAGCAGCGCCAAGGGGCTTTGCCTGGGGTGAGGGGGCAGCTGGCTGAGCTGGGGTGGGCTGTTCAAGACAGTGTGCCCCCATGCTAAATGATTTTCACTAAAATAATACAAAAAAAGAATGAAGAAAATCACTCTTCCCTCAGCCAGTGGTGAGGTGATGCCAACTCTGTCCTCGGCCTCTTGCACAACGGGAAAAGCAGCTGGACTGCTGATCCAGGAGGACTGGGGAGGGAGTCGAGGAGGCCACGGCAGTGCCACTTGGGCAGGAGAGGCACAGCAGGGCAGGCAGTAGCTGGCACTGCCCACGGCGCTGGCTGGAACACCCAAACTGAGCAGGCGGGTGGGACAGGAGCTGCAAAGCAGCCTGGTGCCTCGGATGCCCTCAGAGCAGAGCACGAGACGAGGAAGGTTTGCTGACCATGGCTGACCATCGTCCCTGACTCTCACTGCTCTCCCACCCATCTCCACAGGGCAGATCACAGGCAGGGTGATACCAGTGCTGCCAGTAGCCTCCCGCCTGCGCACCCCCAGAGCTTGGGCACGTGCCTGGGATTCCTGCGGTGCAACTGGCCGAGGCAGCTTCCAGTACTTGGGCTTGTTTTCCTCAGGATTTCTATCCCTAAAGAGCCTTTTATGGTGCAAAAGAGTGAAATCCGGTCTTCTCCTGACATTTCACCCCCAGACAGCAGAAGGCTGGATGTTACAGTAATTTAGCTCTGCCAGGGGCTCCCTTGAGTGCCAGAAGCAAATGAAACTCAAACATCCATATGCAACAGCACAGGTATGCGGAGGTAGTCAGGCATCTGCACACCCCGGCTGCTGTGTCCTGCTAATTAGTTCCCAGCGATGTCTTACACACGGATATGTCACATCTTCTCCCAAAAAAGGATTCGTGTAGCCTCAAAGACATTTCTTTGGGTAAGGTACACACTGCCATCTGAGGACAAATACAAATGCTTCATCTAGAAAACCCCACCTTGCAGTTACGAGCTAGAGCAATGCTAATGATAGTACAGCCCTTTTATAAACCCTAACAATCGATTTTCACAATCTGTCTGCAATTACTCTCTGTCCTGAGTGTGGAAACTGAGGCAAGGTTCAAGGCCAAAGAGAAAGTTGATGTCAGAGCTAGGGTTTAACCTAGGGATCCTTTCAAGGCAAAATTATCATCCACATTTACTCTTGACCCCAAAGCTGAGCTGAAAGGAGGAGGAAGGAGAACACAAGTTAGATTCTGAAAAGGCAGCAGGTAGAGAAAGCAGCTCTGCCCAGAGCAATGTACACTACGAATAAACGCCGATGGAAATGGTGAGTTATAGTTTACAGGACGGAAGAGCCTGAATTCTCCTCTTGCAGCGGGTCCAGCTCAGCTGCAGGCAGCGCCACAGCAATGGGACAAGGGGCATTGCAGTGCCGGGCAAAGCAGCGTTATCTTCCCCTGTCACAACAGCCGCACTTCGCAGGGTCTGTGAGGGGAGGACTCCCTGGAGGAAACCGGCTTTAACATCTTATTTCCTCCAGCTCCAAGGTTTCCTTAATAGGAAATTATTCCCCGGCCACGCCGGGGAGGGATGCAGTCCCCCGTCAAGGCAGCAGGCACATTCCAGCCCCTGATGGAACACACTGCAGAGCTGCTTTTGATCCAACGTGTAAATAGTGTATAATAAAAAGATGCTTGCGTAAACCGGCTGAGGTCTCGGGGAGCAGCTTTTGCAGCTCCAGCCTCCTCGTAGCACCGTGGCTGCGCACTTTTCCTGGGCACAGTGAAGCTGGTGTCGAGCCGAGCCTGCCTTACCGAGAGGCTCCGATGGGCCCCACGCCACCCCAGCCTGTTATTTTTATCCTAGCTGGCCCTGCACGGCAGTTCACTTGAATCCCGCCGGTTTCTCTCTGCCGGTCTCTGAGGCAACTGGGTTTTGCTAAAAAAAACAATCACACTCCCCACAAAACTTTGGAGCAGAAACAGCCACCAGGAGAGTAAAGCCAGGGTTTCTCGGAGGGGAGGGATGGGGTTTAGGAATAGGCACTCTTCCTGCTGTTGTTATTTCCCATCTCTGCTTGGTAATGAAGTAACTGATAATTAAGCAGCACTAAAAAGGAGCAAGGCAGGATGGCCCTGGAGTCCCAGCCATGCCCAGCAGCTGAGCAAAGCCTGCGATGGGTGAGGTTTTGAGGGAGAGGCAAGGTGAAAACTCGATGTCTGTCACAACCATGTTTCCCTGAGGAAGAGGAGAGGAGGGAAGGCTCTGACCCTGCCCGACAATCTCTGGTCTCTGCCAGGCTGGCTCTGAGACTTGGGAGGAGTAGTGTGCTGCCGGCACAGCTCGGACACAGGCAGGGACACGAGCAGAAGGAGGTTTTCTCTTGCCCTTCCAGGCAAACCCTAGAGCCGCTTTTTTATCTCCTCCCTCCTCCATCCCAGGAGGGTTGATGAAGCAATTAGCACTTTCCTTTCCCACTAATTTCTATACAGCTAATTCTGAGAGGAGCCCACCTGTCTGGTCACAACATACTGGGCTGTGTACGGGCAACATGGTGCCCAGCAATGCCTGCATGTCTGTTGGGGCAAGGGACACTGGTACAATGAGACACTGCCGCGTGCTTTCAGCAGCCCCTTGCACGCCCCTCCCTCGCACCCATCCCCAGGCACACTGCCACTCACTCACTGCTGGCTGCTGCAGCCCTCTTCCCACCCTTGGGGTCTGGCCACAACAAACTGGGGGGACAAAAGGGGACAAACCCAGCTGAGCCCTGCCTGTTTCCTCCTTTCCCAGCATCCTAAAGCATCGCGGGCTGTGGGATGTGGCTGTGAGCTGTGGGATCATGCTCAGCCACCCGCCCTGGCTCTGGCTGCCACCCCCCTCATGGCAGAAACACTCATACAAAACCTGGCTGAGGGCAGCTGGGTCCTGAGGGGCAGACAGGGCTCCCCAAGGCAGCCCCCTCCTCAGTTTGGTACCCGCCATAGATCCTGCCTCCCAGCCCACAGCATCCCAGCACAGCAGTGCTTGTCCCAGAGAGTCCATCACGCCAAGCTGCTAAAATTAAGTGACAACCTTAATGCACCCCATAAACTCCCCACAGAGCCACACTGCGGGCTCCAGGGCTGAGCTGTGCTCTGCTGCAGACCCAGTTCATCTGGGACACGTCTCACTGGCTGCTCACAAGCCTGCTGGATGTACCATGGCCAAACCCCGCTGCTTCTCGTCCTGCCCTGTCAAGGACACGCAGTGGCTCTGGCAGGCTGGCACAGTACCAGGGTGATCCTCATCCCACTGGCTCCTGTTCCCCATCCTGCTGAGCACAGGGGCCAGGGCCAGTCCCTGCTGGCCAGCAGCTCCCCTCAGGGCTGCAGGGGGACCAGAGAAGGGGTGAGAGGGAGGAAAGGTCCTGAACACGCCCAGGCTGCCACAAGGGCCCTTGGCCCCACCCCACCAGAATTTTGTAAAAAAGAATTACATAGAAATTGCAGTTTGACCCCACTGCTGGTGTGCAGCGAGGAGGCATGCGGCACGGCTCCAGAAGGACACATGGGATGAGGACCACCACCATGCACACTGGAGCCCCAAGCACCTACCTGGATGCCGCAATCTCCGATTTCTGCCGGGCGATGGCCGCGGCCCTCTGAGCCCCCTCCACACTCCTGTCCACCTTCTGCCGGATCTTGGCGCTCTTGAGGGGTAACACGCGCTTCTTCATGCCCTTGACAAGGACGTTGTGGCGGTACTTGCCCTCCTCCTTCTTGCCGTCGGGCAGCGTGGTGCAGCCGTAGCCGTGCCGCAGGTTGTCCAGCCACTCGCCCTCATACTTCAGCCCGCTGGAGCGCTCACTGACACCAAAGCCAGCGCGCTTGTCGTTCTTCCACTCGCCCATGTAGGTCTCCGTGGTGGTGGCATCGATGTCGGACTCAAAGGGTGGGTACTCCTCACCCTCGGCACCCTCTCCCAGGCTGACGGTGGAGGTGGCATCGCTGGCGGCCGAGCTGATCCCACTCTCGCTCTTGAGGAAGCTGACGCGGCTCTTCTGGCTGGCCAAGGACGACTTGGACTCGGACTTCTTCAGCTTCCCCAGCAAGGAGCCCCTGCGGAAGAGCCCCCCCTTCTTGGGCTTGCCGGCCTCCGCCTCCGCGTAGAGGCTGAGGGCGAAGCCCCCGCGGGTGATGGTGGGCGAGAGGGGCAGGCTCTCGGGGTTGGCGGCAGGGGAGTCCTGCTGGGGCAGGGTGCCGTTGCTGTGCTCGCTCCGCAGGGAGGACAGGGAGGTGCGCAGTGGGGAGCGGACCACGGAGGCCATGCCGTAGGGCACGCTCTGCCGCACGCCGTAGCCATGCCGCATGCCGTTGGTGAACTGGCCCTGGTACGTGCCTGCGGGAGAGAAGAGGGACGGGGTGAAAAGGCAGTTTGCTCCTGGGTGAGCCAGCAAAGGAAGACAGGCTGCGGGGCAGTGCTGCCCTAGAGCAGACGTACCCACCTTTCCTCAAAGACAAGAGCCCCAACTCCACTAGTGCTTACCCACGTGCAAAAGCAGCAGTCCCCAGGGAGCAGAGGGTAGAGGACACAAACCCGAGAGCTGCTGCTGGCAGGTGACAGCTCACTGGAAGGGGGCTAGGGTGCCAGGAGACACTGGTGCAAACCCACTTAATGGACGGGGTCTGGATTTGCTTCCAGAGCAAGGAGTGGGAGGCAGTGCTGGGGGGCTGGAGTTTAGACTGTGCTGAGGGGGGCAGCAGCCCCAGTGGACTCACAAGCTGCTGTGGCACAGTTCTCCTTGGCTTGGCGACAGTCTCTTTCAGCCCGTTCTGCAGTTTGTTGCTCACAGCCTGTCAGAACCAGCTCTAGACCCCCAAGTTGGGCATCTGACTGTAGCAGGGGCTGCCCCAGTACCTGCATCTGCATCTGCCTGGCCCAAACATACATCTTCTCTGTGGGCCCAAGACCAAGGCTTGTGCCACACTGCATGAAGCAGGGGATGGACAAAAAAGGGAGGAGAGGAATGGAGCAGCTCTGTGTGAGTTGCCCCAAAAACCACCGCCCTGCCACACTCCTCCAGACCCAGCTCAAGATGGTGTCATATGATGGGGGACACAGAGAGGATTGTGTTCACGATGGCCAGGGCTGCACCCCGGGTACAGGACGCTGCTAAGAGCCAGCAGGACCTTGGCAGTGACACCTCGAAGGACTGGGAAAAGCACACCTCTCCAGGCCCCTTCCAGGTCTGCACATTCGCAGGCTCCAGGAGAGTGAACTGGAGACCACCGCTCTGGATTTTTCTCACCAGGATGTCAAGAGACTTAAACTAGTAGCATCAAAGCCCCCTGCAAGAATAGCTCCTAGAAGGGCAGGAGGGCTGGTGGGGCAGCCTTTGCCTACAGCACCCGCACTCCCATGCCAGCGCAGCGGGCTGCGAGGGTCAGCACATCCCTGCTGAGCCCTGGGGGACAGGATGGGATGGGATGAGCTATATGTAGATGTGGTTGCCTCAGAAACCAGCAAGCCACCCAAAACAAAAGCAGCATTCAGCTCTGCTCCTGGCATTACAGGACCTGGAACGGGCCACCTCACCGCAGACCAGCACCCTGCGGGGCAGAGGCTGCCAGCAGCCCCCCGACCTGGGCCATGGGTAACAAGGGAGCACGAATGTCCCCAGAAAGGCCACCCCACTCCTTTACTCTCGCAGGTGCTGCTTCATGCAAGCAAAGGGCCAGCCATACTGGGAGCATTTTCACAGGCATCTGTCCAAAACATGGTTTTCATTAAGCAGTGACCTACCAGGAGGCACCAAATTTTGGGAAAGCAAGCATTCCCAGGGTCCAGGGGAAGCTGAGACAGAAAGAGGTGACCTATCTTCAAGGCATTCATCTCCCCCTCAGATGCTGTTACTGAGACCAGGAATGACCCTGCTCCCCAGGGAGCAAATCCAGTTCCTTCTTTGGCGATTGTGGGAGTGCATATTTTACGGTCTCCCAGGCCACTTCTGCAGCATAATCTCTCCTCCCAAGCTTCAGGTTTCGTTGAAATCCTCTTTGGACCCGCCTGTGGGGTGTTAACTTACAGCACTGGGGGCCAGGAAAGACAAGAAGTGCCCAAGCAGGCAGCAGCTGCTGCCCCGGGGTGAGCCGCCCCCCACAAGCCCCTGCCCACCCCGTGGCACCGGGAATTTTGGGCTCCCTGCAGACAGTTGGTCTTCCCTACTAAAAAAAGTAAGGGTTCAGGTAATGCAGAGCATCTGCGGGCTGTGGCCAGCCATGGGGAGCAGTGTGCCAGAGCAAGGGGCCATTGTCCAGTTGCTTGGCAGAGTTTGAAGCTCCATCAGGAAAAATAAGGTGGGCAGCGGGGGTCTGGGCATGAGCTGGGAGCCAAGGAAAATCGTTGGAGATGCCCAGCCATCTGGGCATGTTCCTCAACATGCTCCCAAATCCCTCCCCGTAAAATGGTGACCAGTCTTTCTACTACAAAATGAAGTTATGGAGACCCCCATAGTGCCCCCACATCCCACCTGATCAAGAGATGGTGAAGTTGGAGCTCCACCCCTGCCTGCCCAGCCAGTGAACAGGGCTGACACACATCCAGGGTGACATTGGAGACCTCCTCATAGGACAGGACAGCCTCGCACATACTAGGTTGCAGATGTTAACCCCCAGGAGAGGAATTCTGGAAAAGCGTTGTAGATTTAGGGGGGCTCAGCAGCTCCTTGGGTCGAGGTCAGAGCAGCCGCTGCCCTCCAGCAAGTCCCCAGCCCCCTCCACCCCCCTGCCCAGCGCTGGGGCCGTCCCCTGCCCAGGCGGGATGGGAAAAGCCATGCAGCACAGTGGGTCTTCAGGGAGCAGAGACTGGGGTGCTGCTTCTCGGGGGCACACATGCCTACACTCCACACCAGTTTGACACCAGCTCTTCAGGCTGGTCTCAGCTGCCTGATCTCAGCCCACACAGCACAAGCAGCGTTGTCCCTCCGGTGTATGGTGTGACCAAACCTGCCAACCCGGCTCGGCTTAGCGGAGAGGATTCACACCGCACTGCCCGCGGCTGCCCCGCCAAGGCAGGGCGAGCAGGCACTGCCGTGTCCCTGTCATACTGCGATTCAGCACCCGGCTGAGGCTTCATGCCAGGGCAGAGCCATAAACCACCCCTGGAGCAGAGCCAGAGGCTGCTGAGAGCGGCTGGAGGCGCCGGCGGCCGTGTGTTGGGGCACGCAAGGTTTGAGCGGAGCCAAGCCCTGGCTCATCAACACGTCCCAGTGCAGCCAGTTCAAGAGAGAATGGGGCTGTGCAAACCCCCTCTGCACCACTGGCAGCTGCTCAGCAGGGCTGCACGTCCCTGAGCCACCGCTACGCCCTGAATATCAAAGCAGCCTGGGCGAGGGGGGACAGGCAGCCATGCGCTCACATGCAACTGAGGGTCTGTAAAAATTAATTTAAAAAGCAGTGGATGTGTAAAGAAAAAAGTTTCTATTTAGGATGAAAATGGGACAGAGCCCCACTTTGCTGGCTCCCTAGCCCTGACAGATTCACCAGGGTGGTGGGACAGAGCCGTCTAACCCCACTGGGGTGCGATTACTGGGGGACAGGACCCCAACCATCCTTTATTGCCTTCATTTTTTCTTGTCATAATGACAAAAACCACTGGTTCCTCTGTGACTCCGTTACGTGGTTCATCACCTCTGCCCGTCCCTGACCAAAGCGGGGGGGGGTGTGGCCCTGCCTGAGTACCTTCATAGGATGGGAAGGATTAAATTGTGGGATTGATGAAAACGGTACCCCTGGAGCCTTCACCTCCAAACACACTGAGAGGGTGGTAGCACCCTCCATTTTGCCCCGGCAGCAGGACAGGACAATGCCCGGCTGCATCAAAGGCAAAAGCTTCAGCTCCTGGTGCACACTCAGCCTGGCAGCAAGAGCCCGCTGTCAGCAGCATCACAGCTCCCCTTCCCAGCCTGCCTCGAAGCTCTCGTGCAATTAACGATGAATGTGAATAATACAAACAACCAGGTAAATAATGCAAACAACTCAAATTGTATCACTGCCCTACGATCCTCTGCTGTTACCCAGATACTGTGATGACAGACGCGTTAGAAGAACTCTGTGTAAAAGGCCAGGGACATTAAATCAGTGCACAGCACCACATGCGAGACAGGTCAGAGAAAACTTAGTGCTTCTTTTTGGTGCCAACAGTACTATCTGATAGGTTCTGCTGGAAAAGAAAGGCAGAAAAACATACCAGAGAGGGTTAAGAAAAATTCACAACATTAATTCATGGGTCAAATTCAGCCATGCAGGAGCTTTGCTACAGGGGCAGCAGACAAAAGACAGCAGCATCTCGGCTCGCCCAAAGCCTGTTCCTGCTTCTCCGGCCGCAATCCCATGGATACTGCTCCTCCTGCCCCAGCCCAGGCCCCTTCCCACTGTGCTTTCCCTGCCCTGGGCACTCGAGGAGTTGGCGCTGCTCCATATCACCCTGTCTCATCTCTCCTGGTAAAGTACACTTCTGCATTTCTTTTCCCCTTTCTTGTGGTCTCATGATCTCTGAATGGTCTAATTGTTTCCGCACACAGTTAATTGACACCACTGTTTTCTCTCAGCGCCCTAGAGACCAAATTGCAGCGTCAAAAATAAGTTGGTTTTAGGCTGCTTCAATTGCAGGTGAGTTTTTGTCACCACCCATATAGATACATATAAACAATCACTTGTATAGCAAAGCCTGGCTTTGGGCGCGGATCCTGCGTACGCCATATGATTCTGCACGAGCAGTGAGATTTTTTTCTGCAGTAAGACTTGACTGGGTCAAGCACACGGACTTGAAACCACAGAAGAAGCCAAGAAATGAGGTCTGTCTTAGAGCAGAGACAAAACTTACATGTGGAAGTCAAATAACTAGGTGTTTACTCATAACTTATGTTGCAAAATGATGAGTTCCATCATGCTGTGCCTTCCACAGCCCCAATCACCATCCACCTTAGCTAGTGCATCGGGCCCCTATAAAGGGCTCCGAGCTCTTTGCTGGTGACAGCAGCAGACACACATGTATATTCAGCTTGGGTACCCAAGGAAATACATCACAGTGCTACCGTCTCTGCCCAGACACAGCACAAGCTCTGAACCCCTTGGCCGATTTCAATCAATGTTACAGAAGGCGAGCTCTTTAAGCCATCAGTCTCCCATAGTTTTCACAAAAATAGGCATTTGGTAGCAGAGAGAAAAAGCGAATGACCCATGCTGTGCCTGGGCTAAACCAGACCATGAGTCTGCTCCTTATTAGACACCGAAAAGCTACACAGGATTTCAAAAAGCTTCACTCCAGATTTGGGCTTTATTTAGCCACCAACCTCAGCCACCCACAAGATAAAATATACTTATAGGGTTGTCTGTGATTTGTAAGTGTATTTTAAAGTTTTTATGTGCATGTACATATATATATTATATATACATATAAAAAGTTAATTTAAAGTCTATTTTAAAACATTAGAATCAGCTACATGTCCCTGAAATCCACAGGCAGCCCAACCATGACCTAAAGCTTCTAACGACCTGGCAAGAGCCGCACGTTCCCAGAGCCCTCTTCCTCACGTGGCTGGCTTCCAAGGGGCTTGGGAATCACGTCCCCTACTCGAGGGACGTCAGATTTCCAAAGCTTTTCCAGATGTTTATCTTGGCAACCTCAAATTCAAATATTAACAGGTCCAATTAGCCCCCTGGTCGCATCTGGATCTGGCAGATGGCTACTGCGCACAGGTGAGGAGACAAAACAGGAGTGGGCCCTACAGGTCAATAGGATCATTCCACCCCGTCCCACACCCATGATGCCGGCTGGCAGTCCCCAGCTTGGCTTCAGATGCAGCTTTCTACCATCAGAGAAGCTCACGTACTGAATGAACGTCTCAGACCAGCCAGGATGTGGTGGCCCAACGCAAGGAGCAGCCGCTGGGCACCGGGGTGCAGCGGTTGTGAGCCAGGTCTGGCCGGGCCCCGGGGTGCTCAGCTCGGCGCTGCCCAGGGTGGATTTGGCAGGGCACATCTTCACGGATCAGGGCTAAACTGTCAACCTCGGCTGGCACCAGGGATCATGCAGACGGCACGTTCTTGGGTGCAGGACAACACCCCGGGGAGCACTATGCTGACCAAAGCAGTGTATTATATATCCTTACAGGAGAAAATCTTGACTCATCTTTCCCCCTCCTCTGTTCCAAGCTTTCAGTCCATGATCTAAATCAAATTCAAATTCCTACGTCAAGTTTTGCCTCTCGAAATTCTCTACAATGTTAACTCGAAATCCAGTCGCCCTGCACCCTTAGAAGACGGAGCATTTTAGGAAGCAGCGGGCAAGTGGCTGTGCAAATTCATAGGAGAACTCAATAGCCGCAGAATCAAAGTCCATTGCTGACAGTTACCTTTAACCATGCCATGGGACAGAGGGGGGAGAAAATTCAAGGAGCTGGAGGGATGCATCAGATCCCGTCTGTACCTACAGACTCCGAGGGCACAAAGAAAATGAGTTAACTTCAAGACTATACTCCCAGGCCAAGTTAGCCACGTACCTAGGCAACTCATTGAGAAATATTTATGTAAAACCATTAACACTGACTGCCAGTCTTGAATTAGTCCATTTTTCCAATATCTACAAATCTGACGCTTTTCATTCTGAAGATTTATACCGTTACCTTTATTTTTCTTTACAAACTAACTCCATTGCCTGTCCTAGATAAATATAGATGCAATTCTGATGCATATTTTGAAGGGTATTTCTTTCAAATCACCCCCTCTATTTAGCGATCCTAAATATGGCAGCCTGGAACATTACAGTTCTGAAGAGCTACGGAATTACTTGCACAGAGATTCTTGCAATGTTTCTAACCCCAAAATTGCCACTAATGCAAAAACACAATTAGACCGAGCATTTACAGAGCACACCAAATAACTGACTACACGGTGCGTTTGTGTACTAGCGGGGGTTGAGAGCTTCCAAGTAATCAAAGAGATTTATTTTAGGGAAAGGCGTGTGACTCCGTATTCTAAACAGCTTAAATGAACTCAACCAAAACGGTTCAGAGATGTCCAGGCAGCCCGTCAGGGGCATGCAAGCAGCGTTTAATGCATAGACAGAGCACACTACGATGCCATGGGTGGCTGATAGCCAACATGGAAACATTCACAAGTCGCTGCCCAGTCAGTGAGTAACAGCTCGCTGCGGTTGTGCAGCGGTGAGGAGTTTCTGGTTTGGTTCAGGGATGAACTGCAGTAACTGGTCCCTGGGGAACCAGGAGTCACAGCTTACACAAACCAAGTCGGTTGGTGTTAGCTATCGATACGGACACTCGAGAGCAGCTCCTGAGGGAGGGACAGCAGGGTCAACGCTCCCGCTGCTCCTCTCTCGCGTTGGCAGACGGCAAGCTGCACACGCTGCGCCGACAGCAGGGATCAGGGCGCGCACACACACGGTTATGCGGTGGTGGCCCCCCAAGCCCTGCTTCTTGACTCAGGTACCCCAATGGCTCACTGTAGACCACCATGCCTGCCTGGGCCTCGCTAGTGGGGACAGGATCAGGTCACCCCTTCAGCAGGGACAACACGCAGCCTCTGCCATTGTGGGCTGGGTATCACGCTGTTCATCGCCCTCCCAGCCGCTCCAGAGTCCCCCTTACCTCCATCAGCATACGTCTCGGTGCCATAGCCATCCTGCAGGCCATTGTTCCAGGTACCTTCATACTTGGCTCCGCTGCTCATGCTCTGCCTCGCGCCGTACCGTCCCTTAAAGCCATGGGTCCACTCGCCTCTGTAAACCCACCGTCCTTTGGTCTCGATTCCTAGGCCGTGCCTCTTGCCTTGGGACCAGTAGCCTTCATAGGTGTTGCCACTGGGCCACGTGTATATGCCCACCACTTCAAAGCCGTAGTTCCAGGAGCCCGAGTACTCGCCCTGGCCCTTGGGGCCGGTGCAGATGCCGTGCCCGTGGGCTTTGCCCCCTTCCCAGCCCCCGCAATAGGCGCCTCCATCATCGAAATCAAACCTG